AAGTTCCAACCTCTTCCTTATTCAGTTCAAGCTTTGTTCCAAGCGTTTATGCATGCTTTTCAATCCAAAGTTGATTGAAGTTGAGTTACTTTTATTTACTTCTGCTTACCATTTGTACAGACACATTACTCACAGCCTGATCTCCTGGCCCCTGGAAGAAGCTTGGTGTGAATGATGTCCGGGTGAGACATTACTTAATAGCATTTGCTAACATTTTACTATTTCCCTGCCATTCTTTTATTAAAATACCTTGTTCACACCTCAGGGCCTAACAAAGCAAGGGTGCTCCAACAACTGTGGCATGTTTGTTTTGATGGTAAGACCTATTCAGTATGTTATAGCATTGCTGTTATCTGTAAAATGTTTGCTTACTACATTCAAAACACATTAATTTGTATTGAAAAAAATGTATCCTGGGGGAATATGCATGACATTATATCTTGACTTACAGTACGCTCTGTACATTGTAATGGGGGGCCAATTGCGAGGAAAAACTGTTTTGCTCACTGTCAACAGACCAACATGAATGTTTTCATAGTGAATGTATGTTGTCATTAAATCACCAAGGTCCGAAGAAAACCGATTGCAGGACAGAAAAAGGCGACAACAGCAAAGAGGGCAACAGGTGAGAGGTCATGTGATTAGTCTTGTAGTCAACTATTGCTTGCAGACTAAAGCATAATCCCTCCACTTATTTCAGGATTTGAAAGTGATCCCTCCAAAAAAATTCTGCTATTCAGAATCTGTTTCTGAAGTATCAGGTCTTGTTCAAAGCAGTATTATTGTACACACATCCATCAATGTTGTAGAGGTCGTTTTGCAGTCATTTCTCCATTTTCATTAAACGAGTATACTTAAAATCTGCTACTGATCTTTTTTACATCTTGCATTGTTATTGTGCCTATAAGAACCACAATCTGTTTCCTTTCTAGAGGAAGCAGAGAACTAGACAGAACTGGGAATGGGGTATGTTGCCTGTTGTGGGCGTTTCTTATTTCACTGTTTTCTGCATTCTCCAACCTTTATTAGGGCCCGAGTACCATGAAAGGTAACATGTTTGATCATACCACCAAGAGAGTGAAATACCTTGATACTTGCCATTGTAAAACATTCATGGAAGCTTAAGGAATGTACTTGACTAGGCTATAACATCTATCTTTTTTCTCTTTACAGATCAAACATGTTTAGGCCTGGGGTAAAAATAAAAATCAATGATGCAAAGTCTTCTGTCTTTGGTTTATTTGACTTAGCTAATATAATTGAGTGTACAATATAATGTGTCTGTATATACGGTTTGTCACTCTCAGGAAAATGCTATGGTATGTATGTGTATATATATGTATGTATGTGTATATATGTATGTATGTGTATATATATGTATGTATGTGTATATATATGTATGTATGT